TACTGATGATAATTATAATACTGTTTTGATTAGGAGAAGGGTGACTCTTTAGTAGATACCATTATGGGTGATAACTGTTTTTGGTTGAGTAGATTAAACAGAATTTTCGTTTTCTGTGTGGCTCAATGTCTTCCGGCAACATTAGACATTCTTAACAACAATTTTTTATGAATGATTTTAAGGGGCATTTAAAAACATTGATTCTCTGAGATCAAATTTAAAAAGGCAATTTAACTGCAATCAAGGTTTTAAAATTGCCAATGGCTCTGATTTCCAATTACCAACCAATTTTATTGAAACAAATTGCTATTAAATTTCTTTGTTCATAGTATATAACAAGACTACTCGAATCAGGAGTGAAGCTGTGAATGTTCCGACTGCCTTTTAGGTTCAATGGAGTTGCGTTCGCTTTGAAAAAAATGATGAAATTTTCAAAAACAGGAAAAAAACTGTGACCGACTCGGTGACCTCCAGACTTTTCAGCTTCCTCACTTTTATGCATCTCGATTTCTGACTCATAATTTCTGTCTGTCTTCCGCCGAATTCAATATAGTTTGTGGTCACTTCTTCCCTTCTTTTTTTCAAGTTCTTCTTCTTCTATCCGCACGTTACAGACTCGGTTCTTTCTACTTCCTCCGTAGGAATTGAAAAACCGGCAGTCTGCCCCTTCTTTTTGCAGAGATTAGAGAAGTTGTCTTGTGTAGAACATGACTGATTGTGTTCTATAGTGAGAAACCTCCTCAGCAAAACCAGCGCAACCTTGAACTTGATTCTGGTTACTGGTAAACGCCTCAACTTCCCGCATTCTGGTGGTTTGGAGAGTTTGCCTGTTGATTTTAAATAGAAAGTGTCGGCTCTTGATTTTTCTTTTTCTCATCTAGAATCAACTCACATAATTCTACCTAAGCAGAATTGTTGGACATATTTTTGGGCCGTTTTTTCTTTCTTTCTGCATTATCTTTGTCAATTTTGCGGGCGTTCGCTGCGTTCATATCGTTTATATTTTGTCTTTCTAAGGCATCTTCTCTATTGCTAGTTTTTTTGTTTTGATGGGTGGTCATTGGGGACAATCCCTGAAAGACTTAAGAGCAGATTAATTTTTAGACTGACTGCCGAAAGAACTGACCTACCCAATTGACCCACCCGGGCTGAGGTGCTCGACTCATGATTCGACCGAAACGGTCGAACGGTGTCCGTTTTCGACTCTATCAGTCGAACAACGTCCGATTTCGACTTTTTGAGTTGAGCGATGTCAAGGTCGACTCACACGGCGTGTATGTAGTTGAAAGAAAAATTCGGTATCATAATAAACCACTCTGATTCGAGCCCCCGTCGTTTTTTAAGTTAAAAGAGCAGCATTTCAAGCGCAACGAATTGTTACATCAAAATATAATTGAAGTTGAAAAAGTTCAAAAAACTGTCTAAAATAATGAACCATAATTTTCTGAATGAAATCGTTCGGAGTTTGTTTTATGAAAGTTGATTGTTCTTCGATTTCTATAAGAAATGCTAGCCTGGAATGCTGGTCAGGGATGCATCTAGGACTTTGTTGACTCTCGTAATTACTATATATTGACGCCTAATGCAATCAACGCTATGACCACCCAAAAGGTACCCGTTTAATACTGTTTTACGAAAAAATTTTTGGGCAATCAACCTTAAAAATTTAATGAAGGCTATATTTTTAAGGTTGATTGGCCAAAAAACCTAAAACAGTTCTAAACGGGTACCTTAAGCAGTTTTGTAGTTTTTCAGCAGTTTTGTAGTTTTCAGCGCGATCCTGACTTTCAAAATTCAATGTTGGTCCAAAGTTTTAAACTGTAGCAGTTTCTATTTCATAAACCATTAACTGTCGGTATCATTCTGTACCTAAAAAAAATCAAGTTTGTGCTGAATTTGATCGTATATCAGGGAGAAGCACTTAATACCCCGACTGCACTTTAAGGCCTATTAAAGTGTTTTTTCTTTTGGTTGCAACGCTTATGAAATAATAGGGGGAAAAAAGTAATTTTTTTCTTGAGTTTTTCTCCCACCGCTAGTGTGGACTACAAAAGTATGTGTTTAGCGTCTGTCCTAATAGCATCTGTCCTAATAGCGTCTGGCATCCCAATCAATTAGCTTCAATTCAAGTTGGAATGATCTAATCCGCGACTTCTTCGTGTAATGAGAAGGCAATTTACCTCGCGTTGATTATCCGAAATTGGCCTAATAAGCCTTTTCAATTATCTATAATTTAAGAAAATATGTACAGGTAATTTTAATTTGTTCATTTGTGTTCGGAACATCAATATCTTTGAAATGGTAAAAGAAAATTTTTGCCACAAAAAGTTTTGTTAAAAATTCAAAAATTGACAGAATGGAAAAAAACGGTCTGGAAAAAACAGCCTAAGCATAAATATTCTGTTTTCTTCGAAAATCGAAACAACAAGGAAAATTTTTGGTCAAGTGCAAACTTAAAAATTGTTTTTAAAAATTTTATCATACCGACCAAATTTTTGGTTTTGAATTACTGTTTAAAATTGATAGGCTATGTTTTTGTTCCGACCATTTGGGTGTGAAATCAGCTACCACAAATAATCATTGGCAGGGTTGAGTGATATATTATATTAACTCCCTTTCAGTCGTGATTCGAACGACATTAAAAAAACTTCAAATTTTTTTTCAGTGACGAGAAAAACTGGTTTTGATTTTTGGTCTAATTTTGAGCTAATTAGTTAGGTAGTTAGTAAATGCAATAGCTTGGGTATCAAAAAATTGAAAATTCAATAAATTTCCTCAAAAAATTTTGAAAACCTTTTTGAAATTATTTTCTGTTTTTCTAGTCATTTCTCTTCAATTACAAAACTATGACTCTCAAATACGTTTAAGTTCAAAATTTTTTGTTCAGATTTTATTTTTTTATCACAAAATGGAGAAAAAAAACGACAACAATTTGAGAAAACATTTTTTTTTTAAGACTGTGGTCGGAACATTCTGTGCGACTCGCACTGTGCCCGGCTATCCGTGTTACTCTATTGCAATTTGCGGAAGTGTGCTCCACCTTTATTGGACTTTCATGGATAGTAATCATTCACATTGAAGTTTTATAGTAAGTCTTGCCTCTCTAAAATTCAAAATTAATCGATTACATTCAATCAAAAATGAATTGTTATAGCACAAATTTTTACTGCAAAAAATCTATTTTTAACCGGTCATAATCCGTTTGTTTTTTTCATCTAAAAATGTAATACATTTTAACAGGTTGTGTTTAATTACATTCTTTTTTATATGTTCCGATTGCTGTTTTTCGTGTGGTCATTATCATTTAAAAATGAAGTTGGTTTAATTTTTTCTACGTTTTTTGACCTATTGTTTTGAAAGTGTTAAACTTTTCATGAAAGTTTTGTCTGGAAAAAATGAGTTTAGGCGTTACTTGAAGATTCAGACTTCAAGGTTACAATATACATTCAGGTTACTATCTGTTAGGTTAAAATATCAATCAAGTTTGATGGCGTCAATAAATGTACGATGAAAAATCCGATTATCAGAAGAGTGGGAAGGAACGATAGCATCGAGTGGAGTTGTTAAAGCAGAGTCAGGAGCCACAAACTACCGCTAAGACCGTGGACTGTGGTATCATTTCAAAGTTAGTTCAGTTGTTATTTAATTGTTTAAAAATGAGACAATGAGTCGAAAAAATGGTCTGTGTTTTTTGATATTCAGACATAAACTTAGCGAAGAGCGCATGAAATGGAGTCAATTTTTATTGGGTTAATTTTTCATAGTTTCTCTGTCAACATGATGACTAATCTACATCTGTCATGATTATTTGTGGTAGGATTTAGGGGGAGGGGCGGGGGGTTGGCGTCTTCCCTACTCCCCTCAGGGATTCGACCCCCTGCCGACCCAAAGGGTCCCCCTTTGGTACTTTTTAAGGAATCCATTTTTGGCCGACCGACTCTAAAATTTTTCTAAAGGCACCTTCGTCGCCATATATACTAGCTTAAAGGGGGAGCGAGCGCCAAAAAAGCGCGATTTTTCTTGTCTAAATTTTTCAAAAAGTGCCCAAAAACTGAGCAGAAAATTTGGCCACAACAGCGTCTTTTCAGTGCTCTAGGAGAGCTCGGAAGAATCAATTTGGTCGACCTAAAAAAAGGTCAAAATTTTCTAAAATTTTTTGAAAATCTGCCCCCCCCCCCCTCGAGAAATTCCTAAGCCCGCCCCTGAATATATACACTTAATAACTTACTGTTCGCTTTTTACCCTCAAGTTTTCCGGCCACAACGTCCAGGTAATTTCAACATCATAGGTATATCATAATTAAGCTAATTGATCAATTAATTAGTTTAAAAAGCATTCTTTTAATTTGCGAAATAATTATTTGTTTTGGTGTTTAATGAAGAAAGCAACCAAACTTTCGAAAAAAAACATCCAATTTTGTTTTTCTTATAAAACTTATTTATGAAAGAATAAGTCTATCCGAGTATTCTGTGATACTTCTACAGTAACTGTTGTATTTTTTTTCTAATAATTTCTGGTCAAAATAGGGCCATCATTTTGTTTATTAGAAAATAATGACATTGGACGCATAATTTTGCTCCTTTGATTGTATATTTTTAGACATTTCCAGTTTTTTTCTTCTATCCAATATGATATTTTTGAGTTCCCTGGGATTATTATCTAGCTTTCATAGTTGATAAGTGTACTATTACACTGGGGTTTTTCCCCATTTCTGTTCTGAAATAATCCGGACTATTCTTCTATCAAGGCTTTACCTTACTTTTGCAACCGATTTTAATATAATTTATCTCTTGGTTCCGAAAGTAATAATTCGGTGTCAAATAACTAGAAATAAGACGCGGTCTGAAATCCCCGAACCTTGTCTCAGTTCTCAAAACAAGTTTTCCCGACAATTTAGCTACAATAACAAAACCTTATTTTTCCAGCCGTTCGTTACTTCTTTAGAAACTCGTTCATACCTTGTGCTGATATAAAAGTTAGCAACTACCTGACTCTGAATCTGGGTTAATTGTTTCAGTTTGAAGCTCCGTTAAGTGATTGCCCGAGAAATGTTACCTGGTTGTAAATGCGACAGATTAAACTTTGGGAAACATTGTTTTCATTTGATTGCTCCGGCGTGACATACTTTTCAATATTAAGTTACAAATCGATTACAGCGAAGAATTTTAACAGGCTTTCTTCACTGACTTCTTCAAATTTTACGAGACTTTCATTTCTATAAAGTCTAACTTTATGCTTTAAAATCGATAGACAGGGCGCGAGTTAAGTGGGTACGGGTATGTCTATTTTTAAGCATTCAAACCTTTCGCACCCCATCTTCGATGCTAATTTATGACACCCATTATTGGATGATTAACACTATAAAGTTTTTTTGAGGCGACTTCTAATTTTCAGGGGGAAGGCGACCAGAACAGTCAATTTTTTATGAAAGTCTTCCAAAAAATGATGAAAGAAGCCGCAGAAATTTTTGCAGATACTGGGATAGGTTTATGTTTGACTTTTTGTCAAACCTCAAAAATCAATTTTTAGCGATATAAAAAAGACCATAATTTTTTTGTTGTTAGTTTTAAACCGCCCTTTTCACAAAAACTGCAATGCCAGTAAGCTCCAGCCTTCTATTTAAAAATTGACACATTTCATATTGAATTTCAGTATCAAATATTTCGCGTCAATTTTTAATCTCACCAATATTGAGGCTGGGAGCTGAACACTTGGGAGAAAACAAGCTGAAATAACCACTTTCCCTCAAACGCTCAAACGGCTGGAAAAGTGTGTTTTCACTTGAAACTGACAGTCTTTATCAAACCACCAATGGCGAAGTAACTAATAAATTATGCAGCAGAATGTGACCATTCTGACCAAATTAAAAGGATATCGAGAAAGAATGGAACCAAAAATGACCAAAGACTGCCCGTCTGGAAGTTGATTTTATTTCGGAGAACTCGGGTGGAATTCCCGGATAAACTATTCATGTTATTTCGACATAAAGATTATATTACAAGTTCTACTGCGGGTATACTTCAAAACAAAAGCCATACGGTAAGCTTATCATTGAAAATTGAATGGTTTTCCTGGTTTTTAAACGTAAACAAATTAAATTTTCCGAGAAGGCTAGTTTTCAGCCAAAAAAAATTACGTTTTCTGAAGGAAGCTTGGATAAGACTTTCATTTTGTAAACATTTGATTTTTTGCAATAATTTAAGCAACAAATACAAGTAATTCTCGAGTTAATAAGTAAAAGCAGCTTATGCGCCTTCAATTATATCCAAGTTCAAAAGAGTTTTCAAAAGTGAAGCGTACAAGTCATTAAAAAGCCTACATCAATTTGCTGATTATTTATAAAATTTATATGAAATTTTCTTAAACGTTATGTTTGTATGTCAAAAATGCAAGAAGAAATCTTTTTTAATTTCTTACCAATCAGCATTTACTAAAAGATAAATAGCAAAAAATAGTTAAAAACAAATCATTTGCCAAACCTTTGACAAGCATTTTAGCTTTTAATTTTTCAATTTTAAATTTTGCCAGACGATCGGCATATACTTAAGGCTCAGGAAAACTAGGCTTATCTAAGATTAACGGTTAATATAAACAGGCCCTGAAATGTTCGGAGTACATATTAACTAGTCTCAAATATTTTTCCACAGAAGGGAAGTTTGATAAAGCTGTTTATTTTCAAATTTTAAAATTTCGTTGGTGTTTTTGCCCCACAGTCAAACATTTTAAAAAGTGCGCGACGCTTAAGTAGTTCACACATACTTGTTGAAGATCAACGATAAACTCTTCCTATCGTATCTGAACTACCCCAGCATTTTGCTGTTAAAATATCTGCTTACCTTTGATCACAGGGAGTTGATTCCTTTATTGTTCCGACTTTCGATACGAAAGTAACGGAATATTTGTGCTCGGGGTGGGTTTTTTTTTTCTTCAAACAAATTTCGACTATTTAAATAACCATTTTTGACGGAATTTTTTTATATCATTCGAAAGGTATTGTTGTCTTGAGCTCAAATTTGAAAAGATATTTCACCTGTGATCATTTTTCGTAAAGTTACGGGGTTTTAAAGATTGCCCTTTTGGCCAATTTGGGACAATTAACGCGCGATATATTTCGCGCTATTAACGCGTAAGCGGAGAGTTAATCCGTCCTAGAAATCGTTCCAAATTGGTTAAAAGAAGCTTATTTGCCTTAAATGGTTTGTTACAAGGAGCGAAATCTATCCTATTGTACTTCATATGGCGTGTGGGGGGATGATTTTCATAAAAAATTTCAAATTTTAGAAATTTTTTTTTTCATTTCGTTTTATTTCATTGAATTTTTAAATGTTATTACTGCTCCATAAACCTTAAAAGGCAGTCGGAACATTCAGGGCTTCGCCGTGATACGAGAAGTCTTGTTGGGGTATGAAAATGAAAGAAAGTTTGTTAACTTTATTTCTATTGCCTAATTTGGTCCGAATAAAAAAGAGCTCAGCCTTAACAATCAGTTGCTTTAAAGCGGAGCATAATTGCTCGGGCAAAAGGCGGAATGTTCCGACTGCCCCTCAATTGGTATCGAATAGTTTTGTCAGAAAAAATTTTTAAAATAACAATAGTTTTAGACAAAATTGAAATGAAGCGGGAAAAATCGAGTCTTTGAAAATTTGTCCTTTCCGCCTCAATTCAAATTGGAACAGTTTTCTAGCGTGGGATAATATACAATTCGTATTTAATAATTCGTGTTTTTCTTCCAGTTTCATAAGCAAATAGCGCAAAATGTAAGTTCCGAATACGACCAAATGGCAAATTTCAATCCCCAAAATTTTATAAGAATTGATGACAAAATATTTGTTTACAACTTGAACCCAGGAGTCTGTATGTTCAACGGGGCTTAAGAAATTTTAGAATATACTGTTTTCATTGCCAAAAACTGACTGAGTAAAAAATCATCCCAAACAAAAATGTTTTAAATTTTATTGGAAAGTTTGAGCAATTTTTTTTTCGGAAGCTTTTACAACAGTTATCAATTGCCAATTTACATCAATTGACTCTGCCTTCATTTTAACAATCGAAATTTTTTTTTCTGTTTCTAAAAACAATTGAATCATTTTTGAATGGCCAAACAATTACGGATTTTGAAACTTAAAAAAATCTCTATCAAAAAGATAGTGAAAATGTTTAACATAGTCAGCTTTCAAATATTTTGAAAAAATAAACAAAAAAGCATCAAATTATTTAGTTTGAGAACAAAATCATAACTTTTAGATGTTGAAATACATGCATAATTGACCTATGTAAAGCTAAACAAGACTGCTCGTATCAGGGCGAAACCCTGAATGTTCCGACTGCCTTTTAAGTTTTTTGGAGCAGCAATAACAAAAAAATTAAATGTAATAAAATATAATGAAATTTTTTTTTCTAAAATTTGAAATTTTTTTTTAAAAAATCATCCCCCAGACGTCATAATAAATACTAAGTGATAAATTTTGATCCTATTAACAAATCAATTATGGCATATAAGCTTCCTTGAACCAATTTGGAACGATTTCTAAGACGGATTAAATCTCGCTTACGCGTTAATAGCGCGAATTATATCGCGCGTTAATTGTCCCAAATTGGTCAAAATGGCAATCTTTAAACCCTCATAACTTCACGAAAAATAATCACAGGTGAAATATCTTTTCAAATTCAAGCTCAAGACAACAAAACCTTTCGAATGATATTAAAAAATTCTGTCAAAAATGGCTAGTTAAAAAGTCGAAATTTGTCTGAAGAAAAAAAAAACCCACCCCGAGCACAAATATTCCGTTACTTTCGTATCGAAAGTCGGAACAAAAATAGACTTACTTTGCATCTAAGTTTCGTAAGATATAATTAACAATCTCTGCCTCCATTGGTATTTAGAGGAATGTTTCTTCAAGCTTTCAAGAAGTCAGCAAATTCACTATGAAATCTAAATGAAACTTTCTTCTTTTTGTATTTTTCTTCAAGTTCTCTAGAATGAAACGTATTTTGAAACAAACTTTATGGTCTTTTGAGTATTTTGCTTTAAAAACAAATAAAAAGACAAGGCTCAGCACAACTACAGCTAGATTCCGTGATATCCAAGTTTTAACCAAAAAAAATTGCATGTAAGACGGAGACCGACTTAGATATTGCTTTTAAATTATGTTCCGTATTCAAAAATGAAACTGTTTTTCAACATCAAACTAAAACGCTATTAATCATTAGCTAGAATTCATTGTTTACCGATCCAATTTCTGAAGAAAAGGCTTGTAATCATGCTTGAGGTACCGATTCAGTAAGTTTTTGATAATTATGGGTATGAAAACTGCTAATAATGCTAATTAAGGATAATCAACGCGCGCTTTTTTCTTATAACACGCGTAAGCGCCAGAACAATTTGCTCCAAATTGAAGTGAGGCAAGTCATTGGTTTATAAATTTCAGATTCCAGAAGCTCATTACATTTTTTTGGACCGTAAACAGCGCGTGGACAATAACACAAAATTGGAGGACAAATAAAGTTTATCAATTTTTAGCCAAGTTTTTTTAATTGGACTGAAAGAGCAGTCGAAACATTACCCTGGTTTCGCTCTGGTATTCGATTACTCCTATAACGAGTAATCAGTGTTTTTGTAACTTTAAAAAATTGGAAACCGGAGTTCTTCACTCAAACTCCTTCTACCAAAAATTTTGTTTGCATCTTTTTTGTAACGCAACTAATAAGTCTCACTTTTTGAACTAACTCGAAAAGAACGACAACAAAACTAGCTCTTACACAAAAATCATTGATTTTTTAAGGCAGCAGTGTGGGCGACGTATCAAATTTCGCTGATTCGCGAAGCAAAAACAGCTGTGCACCTTCAATTATAACTGGATGCATAAAAGTTTCAAAAACACAAACGTCGAAACAAAAGTTTAAATATCTTGCTAATTATTAAAAATATATACATATACAAAATTTTGTTAGCATAAAGTTTTTATTTGAAACCTTATAAATTAGCTCACATGGTGTACCTTCATTAATCTTTATCCCAAATTTGCCCATTTTTTCAACATCTTAATCTTATACCAGGTGATTCGTATAACACTAAAGGCTAAAAAACACAAGCTCAGAAATCTGAAGTGAACTAAATCAGTCTAAATCATACTTTTACTAAGACTTCATAATATTAAGAAAAAATTTATGGTCGATAAAGTTGTATGATAATTTTTCAAATTTTATGTTTGTTTATTTATTTTTGCCCACAGTCAAAAATTGTAAGCGATTGTAAAAATTGTGCTTGAGTAGTGTGCAGTTACTCTTTGAAGGTCATAGGCAAACTTTCATATTGCGCATAAACTACTCCACAATATGACCAACTGCGAAAAAATTCCAATACACTCAGCCTTACCAAACAATTGCCTATTCCATAAATCAGTTGTTTTTATTTGACCTCAGGGAGTTGATATCTTGGGGTGTCAAAAATTTGTTATCTAAAAAGCCTGAATAAAGTAACCACCTCGAATCCTAGTAGTCAATTGCTTTAACACAATTTTTCAAAGCTTGCACAACAGTTGTCAGTTGTCGGTTAGGATTTTAAATCTTAGTTATTTCTCAACTGATTCTGCGTTCGTTAAATCACTTAAAATGATTTTTTAATGCTTCTAAAGATTGTTAAAGGCATATTTTGAGTTTGGGCATTACAATAACGGGAAAAAACTGCTTATGAGAAGTTATGTTTTAGTCACGGGTCAAAAAACTTTTTGACTTCAAAGAGCAAATGAACGAGTTTTTTCTCCACGTTTTTCTACAAGTATTCCAATTATAGGGTTGAAATTTTGGCATATGCTAGATGAAATTATTTGGCAATATCTAACCGGATCAAAGCTAGATAAAATTTGCTAGGGAAGCGTGAAACAGCCAGTATATTATAACTAATTCCAGAGATGATCTTGATTTTGAAAAATTCTTGCGGCAAACACATGTAGTTTGATTTTTTGGGCTCATATTAGTTCTTTGGGGAGCCGATGAGCAGACATTACAAGATCTTGAACACTTATATCACAACATTGATC